GGGTTTTACGCCGCTTTTAGCAATATTCCAGCCATATCACGGCTGTGGACACCATTAATGGGCGTCACACATTGTACCCATGTGGGGAATCGAACCCGGGTCTTCGATGTGACGAGCGAACACTTTAACCACTGGGCTATCCCATTACCCCCATTGCCCCGAGAACAGTTCACTTTAATGGTACAAATAGGAACTTGAGAACCTTGTTTTCATGATTTGTTCACTAATTTGAGCAATGGTAAACTTGAGTAAGTAAGCAACGCTATGACGTCATCCATTTTCCCGCTTATTTATGTAAACTGTCTTTCACAAAAACGTGTTTTTGTTTTCTGTTTTTTAGATCGTCAACCGATCCTGATGTCGGTTTAAAAATAATAAACCCCAACTTGTAGTAGATACTTGTGACTACGAAGCTAAGCAACATTTTCCCTTTGACTACAAGCCGCCATGAGACGGCTTTGTTTGTAAAACAAACAGCGAATGTAAACATCAACAACATAACAGTGGAATCTACATTGTGATTCATTTGTTTCATCAATCATGATAAACAGAGAATCAGGGAAGCTCATAAAATATTATTCTGAGCGAAGAATACGACATAGCTTTTTTGTGTCACATGGATGAACGTTATTATCATGTTTACTCACATCAACAGTTAGTAATTGCATTAAAATGTACAAACATAACAGGTCACTACAGCAACCATCAATGAGGGAAATGGAGAAAAAGATTTGGAAACAACCAGAACTGGACACAGGTCAAGAACTGGACACTGATCAAGAACTGGACACGGGTCAAGAACTGGACACAGGTCAAGAACTGGACACGGGTCAAGAACTGGACACGGGTCAAGAACTGGACACAGGTCAAGAACTGGACACTGATCAAGAACTGGACACAGGTAAAAACTGGACACAGGCCTAGAACTGGACACAGGTCAAGAACTGGACACTGATCAAGAACTGGACACGGGTCAAGAACTGGACACTGATCAAGAACTGGACACAGGTCAAGAACTGGACACTGATCAAGAACTGGACACAGGTCAAGAACTGGACACTGATCAAGAACTGGACACAGGTCAAGAACTGGACAGGTCAAGAACTGGACACTGATCAAGAACTGGACACAGGTCAAGAACTGGACACAGGTCAAGAACTGGACACTGATCAAGAACTGGACAGATCAAGAACTGGACAGGTCAAGAACTGGACACAAGTCAAGAACTGGACACAGGTCAAGAACTGGACACAAGTCAAGAACTGGACACTGATCAAGAACTGGACACTGATCAAGAACTGGACACAGGTCAAGAACTGGACACTGATCAAGAACTGGACACAGGTCAAGAACTGGACACTGATCAAGAACTGGACACAGGTCAAGAACTGGACAGGTCAAGAACTGGACACTGATCAAGAACTGGACACTGATCAAGAACTGGACACAGGTCAAGAACTGGACACTGATCAAGAACTGGACACAGGTCAAGAACTGGACAGGTCAAGAACTGGACACTGATCAAGAACTGGACACAGGTCAAGAACTGGACACAGGTCAAGAACTGTACACTGATCAAGAACTGGATAGATCAAGAACTGGACACAGGTCAAGAACTGGACACAGGTCAAGAACTGGACACAAGTCAAGAACTGGAGACTGATCAAGAACTGGACACTGATCAAGAACTGGACACTGATCAAGAACTGGACACAGGTCAAGAACTGGACACTGATCAAGAACTGGACACAGGTCAAGAACTGGACACAGGTCAAGAACTGGACACTGATCAAGAACTGGACACAGGTCAAAACTGGACACTGGTCAAGAACTGGACACAGGTCAAGAACTGGACACTGATCAAGAACTGGACACAGGTCAAGAACTGGACAGGTCAAGAACTGGACACTGATCAAGAACTGGACACAGGTCAAGAACTGGACACTGATCAAGAACTGGACAGGTCAAGAACTGGACACAAGTCAAGAACTGGACACAGGTCAAGAACTGGACACTGATCAAGAACTGGACACAGGTCAAGAACTGGAGACTGATCAAGAACTGGACACGGGTCAAGAACTGGACACAGGTCAAGAACTGGACACAGGTCAAGAACTGGACACAGGTCAAGAACTGGACACAGGTCAAGAACTGGACACAGGTCAAGAACTGGACACAGGTCAAGAACTGGACACTGATCAAAAACTGGACACAGGTCAAGAACTGGAACTGGATGCAGTATTGCAGTACCGCCGACCCCATGAGACAACTCCCACCGACACAACTTCGACAAAAGAGCTCCAAACTATACGTTTTGTTACGGATCCTACACGAGCAATCTCACAGGAAATTACAAAAGTGGAAACATAACATATGTGATATTTGGGATACACTTTCTTAGCAAAGTACAGATTATTGTCTTTTTCTTGGAAAAGCCACCGCGACTTCTATGAAAATGGAAGTCGGACAACTGGTAGTCTAGACTGTGGACTTTCTGTACCCATCTGATAAGCGTTAATTGGCACGGCACCCACGGCCGAAAGCTATCATTACACAATGTCATTTCGTGAGTGAGTGAGGTTAGTTTTACGCCGCACTCAGCAATATTCCAGCTACTACTTAGTATATCGCGGCGGTCTGTAAATAATCGCGTCTGGACCTGATGAGCATCGATCTACGCAATTGGGAACCGATGACATGAGTCATCCAAGTCAGCGAGCCTGATCACCCGATCCCGTATGTCGCCTCTTACGACAAGCATGGGTTACTGAAGATCAATATTCTAACCCGGATCTTCACGGGTCAATGCTATTTAGAAAGTGGTCAAATGTAACATATGTTATATAATACTGAGTCAAAAAAGAAACTTCACATTCTTTATTCAGGGCACTATAAAAGAACAAGAGATGGTAAGATGGTTAAATTGTTATTATTTCATCGCTGAGATCTGTGTGATGTACTCGATACACTGACAGTGCCATAATCAGTTCCATTAGGCTACACCGCCGTTCCAAAACATGGGTATACAGAATGTCAAGTCACAAGAATAAAAATGCGAAATTTCTCAGTTCAATATCGTGTATGGCCGCCCCCGCGCATTCACCACTGCCAAACACCGTCTCCTCATCGACTGCCTGATGCTTGTGAACACGTGGTTGGGGATTCTGCGCCATTGCTCTTGCAAGGCAGCTTCAAGTTCCTGCAAATTCTGAGGTTGGTTCCGAAGACCACGAAGCCTTCTTCCAAGTGCATCCCAAACGTGCTCTATTGGATTAAGGTCAGGGGACCTCGATGGCCTGTCCATGACATTGATTCCAGCGTTTTGAAGGAAATTTCGTGTCAACATCGCGGTATGCGGCCGAGCATTATCATGCTGGAACTGTAGACCTGGGCCATGAGCCGCCATGAAAGGAACGAGGGGTGAGCACCTGGTCGCTGTAAGCAGCAGTTGTGAGGTTTCAACGGATGACCAGAAGTCGGGAACGGTTGTTCCCACAGAAAGCACGCCACACCATGCAACTTCCGCCCCCGAATCTGTCGACTTCCTGTACACAACATTGGGCATACCTTTCACGACATCGTCTCCAGTCTCTATGCCTGCCGTCTGCGAATCTGAGGGTAAACCTGGATTCATCGCTAAGGACGACTCGATTCCAGTCTCTCTGGGTCCATCGGAGGTGACGTTGGGCCCACAGCAGACGTTGACGTTGATGAAACGGCGTCAATATTGGCCCACGATATAGACGTCGAGAATGGAGATTGGCAGCCCGCAACCGATTTCGAATGGTCTGTGAGGAGAGTCGACCTCTAAACATCTCAGCCCTGGTTCGTGTAGCCGTTAGAAATCTGTCACGTAGGACAATTTGACGGTCTTCTGCTCGTGACGTCACATGTGGACGACCCGACCTTGGGCGATCAGAAGTGGTGCCAGTTTGTTGTAGACGACCTCGCAAGTCATACACAGTACGACGGCTGCATCCCATTGCTCTTGCGACGTCAATAACTGATCTTCCCGCTTGCAACATGCTAACGGCACGTTCACGTTGCACATTTGACAATCGTGGCATTTCAAGTACCGTTAGAACTGTGGTTTAAAAGTGTTTTTTTTCAATTCTTGAGGCCAATGCAAACACGGGCATATGAAGAAAACTTCGATGCGAAGATCACGTGATCGACTGCACGTGCAAAGCTCATTTGGCACTAAAGTCATTTGCACGACGAATGGATGGGTTTGAGTGGGTTTTACTAACGTTTTTCTAGAGTCGAAAGATAGGGATCCCATTTCGGATACATAGATGTATCATCAGAGAAAAATTATTCATTATTTTTCAAATTACATTTTGTGAAGTTTCTTTTTTGACTCAGTATATATTTGGGATTACACTTTCTAAGTAAAGTACAAGAGTATAACTACATTCTAAATAGCATTGAGTGAAAACAGTCTATTATTCAAAACAGTACTTACATATATATCTAAGATCTAAGATATATCTAACCTAAAACGGCATCCTTATAAATGCAGTTTGGTCTCTGAGACAGTGGGATCAAAGCTGTCTCTGTCAGGACAAATAAAGTTTAGGAAAAGACACAGGTTTCGAATTTAAGCAAAGCGAGGGCAAGATCCTGATGTCGATGGAATCGAACTTTTCTCTTTTAGAATTAATTAAATCCATTATAAAATGATTTATTGGTGTTCAATTATCAAAAAGATCTATTGTTTCTTCTTTGAGAACTGTGCACTTTACAGTAAATTGTTCTGATCAAATCGGTAGTCCACTTTACATCATATTCGTGCTTTCAGCACAAAATATCATCATATCAAGTTTCTTCAGGTCAAATTGATTAATTCTCTTATAATGGGATGACGTCGTATTAAACTCCTAATAATTGTTCAATGCTTGGCGATTTCTGTAGTTATTCTCAGAAATGTTGCTGCGGCCAAATTATTCGCTGAATATACGGATGTTCTTGTCAAATCTGGCACAAAATATACACCCTACCTTTGCCGAACACCAGGTGTTCAATATTCTCAGACGTGGCAACCAGCTGTGTCTGACTGAAACCTTCCATGAGGATACAAGACTTGGTGCCCTTGTTGTAGAACATGGTGGTACAGTATGCACTGAGGAAACACAGAGAGACACAGTCTATCCGGGACATAGCAGGAGACCCTTGAAGCAGGGACGGGGGCACCTGTCCAGTAGATAGCGGGGATACGGCCATTTCAGAACAGTCCATGGCGTTTACTGATATGTTGACGATGGTTGGATTTCAGGGCGAAAGTTACGTTCTCGTAAAGTTGAGAAGAGCCTGAAACACAGAGGGACATTACTTCAGTAAAACAATTGTGACAACGTACGAATCATCAAATATGTGAGTCTGATGGATGGTTAATACCAGGGAGCACTTTATTAACTCAATATGGAGAGAGTCACTGTCAAGCATGTCTGTGCTGCATTTTTCCTCGTAAGGGATAAATATTTCAGTGTAAAAACTGTTAAGGATCTTTTTACAAATGTTAATTTTCATTTAATTATTGGTTTTGTAAAAGACATTGATTAAATTGATGAATTCTGATTAATGTGTTTTGTAAATAGATATATTTTAAAGATTGGTAGTTTAGATTAGTAGCTTGGATTGTTAATGGCTGTATCCTCATAGGGGGTTAAAGTACTGTAAAATTATTGTCCTCCTGCGAGGATACGTAAGGCCCAAAACCTTCAAAGTACAGTTCAACTTACCAGAATTTTTAAACGTAGCATTTGTGTGATTTTAAATTATGGCTTAACTTTCCTACAATCGCGAGCGGCTGAGGGGATGGTATAAATCCAGCTAGGGTCCATGCAGGTAGCAAAGGTACTGTAAGGCTGGCCACCCGGACTGTCGACTATTGAAATTTTATAAATTCGATGTTTCGGGTATTACGTAAGGAGGTAATTAGGCGTTAACACTATGGCGGTCGACGCTCCGGGCATTAAGGAAAACAAAATACGTCATACAGTACATTCTTTATTGTGGCCACTTTGTTACAACGAAAAATGTACACTGCTCATAGACCCTTGATTCACATCATATACATTCCAAGTGAGCAAGTCTGATCAGCATAGTTCATTATGGTAATCTCTTGTCTCTGAAGCTGATCCTTGAGACGCTGAAGCCTTCTGTCAAGCTCGCGGTAGCAGCGCTTCCTTGCTGGTGCACATCTGTGGCCACACACTTGAGCAAGGCGGGCCTCCACAAAGGACTGCTCTCTCTTCAACACACGAACGTGCTCATAGATGTTGGGATGACATTTCCCACTGATATTGTTCAAACGATGATGCCAACCTTCCAGATTATTGTTCGTGCGACGGCGGCCATCATCATCAGTTTATGGATACATCTCCAAACACACTGAGGGGTAGTGACAGTAACATCCACGTAGTTGTGACGTGTGTACGGCCCTCTCAAAATCCATCTGAATGATGTCTGGAGATAAGTTGAAACTACGTTGTGCTGCTTTCAGTGGGCGGAATGCTCGGGCATATGTCTCCTCTGAAGGAAGTACACGAGAGGATAAATGTGGCCTTGAACCTCAGTATGGAACGAGTACAGCTGGTAAAACACATGTTGATAAGTTCTTCATCGAAGATCGCGTTGGTGGTTGTTGTCTCTGTCTGGGAGCGGTGAAAGAGTGTAGAGTTGCTGACGGACCTGTAGCCCGTTTTTATATTGTAGAGATAGATACTAGTTTTATTTCTTGTGTCTGTGATATTCTAGTTGGTTTTACTGTCCCTCGTTGACATGCTTTTAGTGATTTACATGTATTTATGATGAAGTTAAAAACTTGTTTTAGTCATGATGTGGCTGAAATATTGCCGATGTGACTTTAAATTTTAACTCACTCACTTACATGATACACTGTATTAGCAGAAGGAGAGAGCCAATGACCTGCTGTAACAGCGGCAGTGTTGGGTCACTCGGGATAAACGTTCGTCAATGTAGGTCAACTATGCACGTGACAGGTATGAAGAGATTAATCTGAGTCGTGAATAGGAGATGAGTGGGTGCCAACTGTTAACCATCATACGGGTTTGTTTCTCTGGAGTTGTTCAACATTAACACAAAACCCATTAGTAGAGAATTATTCTGTAGGTTAAAATCTTTAAATTTTTATTTTGTTTTATGCAGTACCTAAGTGGGAAATGCATTTAAGAACTACAGAGAACATATTTACACTAAATCATTTATCGGACCACCTATGGTGAACTCAACAACTGTTAAAGCCCCGTTCCCTCGGACACAAAGCACACTCAATCATGCCACTCATTGAAGAAAAGATAGAATGAAGACCGAGTGTTATGTTTTGATGTCGTTCACACATTCAAATTAAGCAATGAATTTCCTAATAGCTTTAAGCGTATAGATGGATTAATATTATATTTTCATGATAATTTTATGTGAAATAAGGTGTTTCATGTTACACTATAAGTCGTTGGAATTAGTCAGTGCTTAAAATCGTCGATTTACAATGTGATTAGATTTGTCTGACAAAACATCCCACTTGCAGTTTGAGATCGATTGGGTCATTGGATGAAGAGATATTTACACAAAAAAACAGGTCCACATGCATTTCATGCCAAACTATAGTCGAAAACACACTGTCAGTTTTTGTAGGAGAACATCTTCGGAAGACTATAACATTTTAACAGTTTGCATTGTACGTTTGTTTGTTCGTTTGCTGTTCATGCCCGCGCTAGACTACATTACAGCTAGGTGAAGGCTGTGTTTGACGCAATCTATTGACATCATCTGTATTTCAAACTTCGTAGTATTGATACAATAACATGCATCAACCAAGTCGGCCAGTCTGACCATCCGAACCCGTCCTTTGTTCCCGAATACCAGATTCCAGCGGACCATCCCGTGTGTTTTCACGTATGCTGAACTTTCAAAAACAATGCAATTACTTATAATACATTTGTAAAGCAGACTCCCCGCCGTGATATTGCTGGGATACTGCTAAAAGCGGCGTAAACTAAACTCACACTACAATGCACTGCCGCTATCTCTCCGTAAATCAGCACCTCGTTGTAATAATGCTAACCTGTCATACTTTTCTAATGACAGTTTTCTTCCAAAAGAGATATCCATAGGGCGTAGCTCCATGTATGTCAGTCCGCTTTAATGAAACTGTTAAAAATTATGTGAAAATTGACTATAAATCGTATAACCAATGTTTCGAGTGACCACGTAAGGAGGTAATTGAACATTGTTCTTATGCCGTTCGACGCTCCGGACATTAAGGAAAACAACATACGTTATACAGCACATTCTTTATTGTGGCAATTTTGTTACAACGAAAAATGTACACTGCTCATAGACCCATGATTCACATCATATTTGTTCCAAGGAAACAAGATAGCCAGTCTGGATCAACATAGTTCATTATAGTAATCTCTTGTCTCTGAAGCTGATTCTTGAGACGCTGAAGCCTTCTGTCAAGCTCTCGGTAGCAGCGCTTCCTTGTTGGTGCACGTCTGTGGCCAATAATAATTTGAGCAAGGCGGGCCTCCACAAAGGACTGCTCTCTTGAACACACGGTGAACGTGCTCATAGATGTTGGGATGACATTTCTCGCTGATATTGTTCAAACGATGATGCCAACATTCTAGATTATTGTTCGTGCGACGGCAACCATCATCATCAGTTTCTGGATACATCTCCTAAACACACGCGAGGGTAGTGAAAGTAGCATCCACGTATTTGTGACGTGTGGACGGCTCTCTCAAAATCCATCTGAATGATGTCTGGAGATAAGTGGAAACCACGCTATGCTGCTTTTAAAGGCGGAATGCTCGGGCATATGTCTCCTCTGAAGGAAGTACACTAGAGGATAAATGTGGCCTTGAACCTCAGTATGAACGAGCATGTTTCTGTAAAGCACATGTTGATAAGTTCTTCATCGAAGATCGCGTTGATGGTTGTTGTCTCTGTCTTGGTGCGGTGAATAAATGTAGAGTTACTGGCGATCTTTAGCCCGTTTTGTGTCTGTGATATGTAGTTAGTTTTACTGTCCCCTCGTTGACATGCTTTTAGAGGATTTAAATGTATTTCTGAAGAATTTAAAAACTTGTTTTAATCTTGATATGGCTGAGATATTGCCGATGTTGCCTTTTAAGCTTTAACTCACTCACTTACATGATACACGGTATTATAGTTTGGCATGGAAATGCACGTGGACCCAGTTTTGTTAATATCTCTTCATCCAATGACCCAATCGATCTCAAACTGTGCAAATTAGTGTTATGTTGAACAACCTAATCACATTGTAAATCACCGATTTTATGCATTTGTATTAAAGAATCTTTCTATGTAACTGTCAACAAAATAAACAGCAGAACGCAGACTGCTTTGCAGAGGGAGGGAACCAATGACCTGTAACAGCGGCAGTGTTGGGTCATAAAGATCAACGTTCGTCAATGGTGGTCAGCCATGCACGTGACAGGTATGAAGAGGTGTCACAGGTCGTGAAAATAGGGTAAGTGGGTGCCAACTGTTAACCATCATACGGAGTTTGTTTCTCTGAGTTGTTCAACACAACCACAAAACCCAGTAGGGAGAATTATTCTGTAGGTTAAAAATCTTTAATTTTTTTATTTTGTTTATGCGGCATCTAGTGGAAACGCATTTAAAGAACACAGAAAGTATATTTACACTAAATCATTAATCAGACCACCTATGGTGAGAACTCCAACAAATGCCAAAGCCCCCGTTCCCCGGACACAAGCACACACAATCATGCACACCCTATTGAAGATAGAATAGAATGAAGACAAAAAAGTGTTATGTTTTGATGTCGTTCACATTCCAAATTAAGCAATGAATTTCTAATAGCTTCAAGCCGCATAGATAGTTAATATTTATATTTTCATGATAATTTTATGTGAAAATGAGTGTTTCATGTCACACTATAAGTCGTTGGAATTAGTCAGTGCTTAAAATCGTCGATTTACAATGTGATTAGGTTGTCTGACAAAAACATCCACTTGCACAGTTTGAGATCGATTGGGTCATTGGATGAAGAGAGATATTTACAAAAAAAAAAAAAACGGGTCCACATGCATTTCATGCCAAAACTATAGTCGAGAAACACACTGTCAGTTTTGTAGAAGGAACATCTTCGGAAAGACTATAACATTTTAACAGTTTGCATTGTACGTTTGTTTGTTCGTTTGCTGTTTCATGCCGCGCTAGGACTACATTACAGCTAAGTGAAGGCTGTGTTTGACATAATCTATTGACATCATCTGTGACATAAACTTCGTAGTATTGATACAATAACATGCACCAACCAAGCCGGCCAGTCTGACCATCCGAACCCGTCCTTTTGTTCCCGAATACCAATTCCAACCCGGACCATCCCGTGTGTTCTTTAAAAGTTACGAAACAATTGAATCAATATGTAGCTGATGCCACAATGTGTGTCAGACAGCATACTTACAGCCACTGCAGGAAATGCTACACGAACATCTGTGGAACACTATCCTCTGCCTGTGTGATCACATTGCGTATTACAGGAACCTTGTATTGATTTGTTGCAATGTGACGTATTTCCTTATTCCCCTGACAAACGTCCTGTAGCCAACCATGTCAAATCAGTCAATATGTCAATAATATAGTACTCACGGAAATAGAAATAGTGTGGAGTTTATTTGTATATTACTTTATCAAAATAGGCAGTTTTAACAAATATAAAAATAACTACATGTATGTTTTTCCCAACTGGAATTTGATCCTTATAATTTGATCCTCTAATCAATAATACCATTTTACAGGTGTAAAAATAACACAAATTTGCATATTATCAAACAAATTTAGAAACATGTTGTAATTTACGTCACAATCAACAATGGGTGGTGACAACTACGTGTGTTTAGACGGGAAGATGCATTTGCACGTGCGTTGTCATAGCGGTTGTGCAATTGACAATAGTAAACTTTCAACATGAGTACAGGCATAACAACTGAACTGAGGAAATCACTAAATGAATTATTTTGTATATCAATTAGGATAAAATAAATTAAGGATGAATGGTATATTACATTTTCATAAAATATATTATGTATGCGAACATATAGCGAGTATATCTCATTTGCATACTATAACATCAGAAACGTACATTTTAACTGCGATGAAACAATGGGTAAAATGGCACGATTTGCTCTCCTGTAAACTCATCTACTTCGGATGGTTTTACAAAAAGTGTTAAAAACAAAAAGTTGAGAAAAACGATAGTCATAGAATATTTAACAATCAAACTTCAGTTCAAAACTACGAAATAAACGTCACATTGATGCTTTAAAAACCTCTAATACAGGTAAACCCTCCGGTGGAATTATTTTGTTGATAAACAAATCCTCACAATCATATGTGAAATCGTGTAGAACTACAGACAATGCTATATTTATATCATTAGACAAATCAGTATTCAATCTAGATAAAGATGTTTTATTATCTGTTGGATCACCCAGTTGGATCACCATGGTAATACTGTAAATCAGTTTCATGTGGATTGTCATCACTTTTTAAATCATTAGTGTCCTTATTGAGTGAGTTCAGTGACCCCTATGTTATTATTGGACTGACTGACTGACTGAGTTTGGTTTTACGCCGCTTTTAGCAATATTCCAGCAACATCACGGCGGGGGAACACCAGAAATGGGCTTCACACATTGTACCCATGTGGGGATTCGAACCCAGGTCTTCGGTGTGACGAGCCAACGCTTTAACCACTAGGCTACCCCACCGCCCCTGTTATTATTGGAGGTGACTTTAACGCGAGAACAGGCGAAGAACTAGATAGTGTCGACAACAGCATATCTAAAGCACTGGGGGATGAAGACTACAGTGTTCTGTTTGATACAGTGTCAATAACACGTCTCTCCTGTGATAAAACTCTTAATCAAACCGGTCGTAAATTATGAATGGTCGATGTGGACTCGACGCTGGCTTGGGTGACTTCACGTTCATAAGCCATTGTGGTAGAAGTGTTATTGACTACGTTATTGCTTCTCCCGCTATCTTCAATGTCTGTCAACATTTCAACATCTTCTCTCGATCCAGACCGCCCGTGGTGTTGTCGTTAGAGCGTCCGCCCGGAGAGCGGAAGGTCGCGGGTTCGATCCCCGACCGCGTCATACCAAAAGACGTTAAAATATGGTACTTATTGGTCCCTGCCAGACGCTCTGCATTTATGGGTACAACAAAGACTGGTCGGCTCGGAGTCAGTATAATGTGTCTGAGTGGGGTATTCATGCTTCACTGCGGCATGGTATCTCAGTGGGCTAGCACTATAAAACCAGCTTCAGTCTGGGCTAGTACACGCAGCCGCACATACACACGCATGCACGTCGTCATATGAGCGAAATATTCTCAAGCACGACGTAAAACCCAATTTCACCTCACCTCACTTACACTGTGGTATCTTTAATTCAGAACAATAACCCTGATATCATCAAGTCTGTTTCTATATACTTATATCATGTCAGATATATATTAACTCAAAGAAATTGGGTAAACGATCTTGCATAAGGAAATAAATCATCAAAAAGTTACAAAGCCTTTTATGACATGTTCCCACATTGGAACATTGGCATGAAAGGGGTTAAGAAGTGAAAATAGTGCGATACTTCATATGGGAACACAAAGATCCGTATGGACAGTACCCGTCTAATCGTAACCCCAGTTGGTAATGCTTTATGTATGTATGCATTGATGTATGCATATATGCACGTATGCATGTATGTATGTAAGTGAGTCAGTGTGCGTGCGTGCGATCGTGCGTGCCTGCGATCGTGCGTGCACAGCTTAAACGTTAACCAGAAATCAGTCCGTAAGAGGACTGTATGTGGAACAAACCAACAACAAAGAAATATGCTGTCATTAACAATTGTATTCTAAAAATGACAGTTTTCACAAATCAGTACAATTCAATACAAAGGTATCACTATGGTAGTACACAACTATGACAGCACAAAATCAGAGGTAACATAATACAAGAGCACTGATTATGGCAATAAAGACAAAGACGGTAATATTCTCCTGTCAGAAATAATAACCCACCTGCAACTAGGGCTTGTGGGGATATGATCATCGCATGTAATGCTGGTCTTGTGGCGAATTGAGATGAGCCAGCTAGCCTTTTATGCACCAGAACACAATGCTGGAAATTTCTTTACCACTAAGGAAGGCGATTCTGGAATAATCTTTCCAGATCATTCTGTAATATTCTCAGGGTCACTGAAGATGCTTTTGGTTGTAGCATTCATCTAAATAACACACAAGTCTAAATATAACCACATCCATGCTACTTACTGATTCTACAGGCACAATGTGTAACGTTTCTTCATAACATTATGGATGATCAACTTCTTTCTTGTACAAAAGCGGCGTTTCGGTATAGGATGCATATACCTTTTCAAGCATGCCTATTGCAAGTTATTCCTTTTGCTCACAACTTCCAGAATGCCTCTCAAACAGTTCTTCTTCATAACAGCGTATGTGACGTACGGTGACCCTATCACTGAACAAATACACAATACACAATACCAAAAGTTAGATTATGGAAATTGTTTATTGGTTTCTATTTTATGACCATTTTGTGCGATATGCGTAAGTAGCATGCTTAGAAGCTGTGTCATCTGTGACAACAGAGTCGATTTATGGTATACAACTTATATATTCTCACAAATCGCCATAGATACCCAATACCTACATCAAGTTGATGCTCAGCAAGTGCTGACTTGGTAGTACGGCTGTCATTACATTTGTCTATCTTAGGCAACAAAATCAACAAACGATAGCTCTCTACAGAAACAGGGACTTACGATCTTTTTTCCCTATGTACTTCAAGTTGTGCTATAAACTGTTGAATATGCCAGCATCTCGTTTGCCCAGAAAGTGCTATAACTTATTATTGTTAGATGCTAGCCATGGAAAAACAAACTGGGTATCAAAACTTAAGTTATTACTTTACAATATGGGATTTGGATATATATGGGAAAGACAGTATATCAGTAGCTTAAGACGTTTTAGAAATAACGGTATCGTTGGTGGTACTGGTATATTTAATGGCCGATCACCCCATGTCTGTTAATGGTAATCTACTCATTGGCATTTCACAGACATATGCCATGGGTGACTGCATTCCCGCAGTGCCAGCTGTTGGAGAGGTTCAAGTCATAGAAGGTGAGACATCTACTGGTTGGGCGATTCTCTTCCGGTTCCCCGGGGCTCCAAAATGTGGGCTCAGCAATTGATGAGTTGTCTCCCCATGTCCAGGATGATCCCAGTAAATGTCCGCTCGTCCAAAACTGACCTGCGTTAGAAATGTGCTGATGAATATCTACTCTGTCTTCATTATTGACAAAAATAATTTAACTCATGTTTCACACAATTGCTGGTTTGATTGTTCGACGTGACTTACCGATATCTGCAGCAATGTCGTACATGAACTGGTTCCGTTCAGCGCTGTTGATGATGACAAGGTAGCTGCCAACTGCTGAGCATGAGGTCTTGGCGTCGCTCCATACTTTAGGGTCGATGTGCTTCTTGTAACACATTTTCAGTCTCCGGTTGTACAAGTAGCCTGACTTGATCGGGCAAGCAGCTGTAACAAATAACAACAGCTGACAAGACTAATGTTGAACACCAACAAGACTCGGATGTTGAACACGAACGTGTAGTAGCAAAACACTCACGTTATTTAATTCAGAGGTCAACACAGGACACTCGCGCGACGTAAATACAAAATAAAGCCGGAATACAAATGTGTCGTACATACGAGTAGGCGCAGACCGCTGACATGACGTCAATACGACATAAAGCCAGAACACTAATGTGTCGTACATTCGAGTAGGCGCAGACCGCTGACATGACGTAAATACGACATAACGCCGGAATACAAATTAGTCGTACATACGAGTAGGCGCAGACCGCTGACATGACGTAAGTACGACATAAAGCCGGAATACAAATGTGTCGTACATACGAGTAGGCGCAGACCACTGACGTGACGTAAGTACGACATAAAGCCGGAATACTTATGTGTCGTACATACCAGTAGGCGCAGACCACTGACGTGACGTAAATACGGCATAAAGGCAGACAGCTAATATGACGGAAATACGAGGTAACCACAGACCACTGACGTAACGTAAATACGGCATGAACGCAGAACACTAATATGACGAACACACGAGGTAGGCTCAGATCATTTACGTACTGTCAACGCGTGGTATATGGTCGACTGGGGAATTAGCTCATGTTTAAGTGAGTGAGTGAGTGAGTTTAGTTTTACGTCGCTTTTAGCAATATTCCAGCAATATCACGGCAGGGGACACCAGAAATGGGCTTAACACATTGTACCCATGTGGGGAATCGAACCCGGGTCTTCGGCGTGACGAGCTAACGCTTTAACCACTAGGCTACCCCATCGCCCCCTCATGTTTAAGATGAAGGTGTATTACAATACGTTCACAAGACGAAGGAATACGTTGAGCTCAAACTTCTTTAGTTACATGACAAACAAATACACAAGACATAGATGAGGTGAGCGGAGTATCTGCTCAACCCCAGGGCGTTTCCTACAAGCGGCATTATCCTGCTCTTGGTCGTCCCAACACAGACAGTCGGAATACCGGACTCCAACTCTGTTTTTTCTTCCATGGACATGTGAGCATATATATACAGTTCTTGACAACAATGGACAGGCGACGACTCAACAATGGACAGACAGAAAAACAATAGCACTTCCTTGACCAGTTGATGTGATGGCAGACACGGCCAAGGGGGATGACCAATAAAGGTTATTTTTGTCATACACATATAACAGTAATTAATTGCCTGACAAGTCCATGTACAATGCGGAAGTGATAAGGATTACATAGAATACAGATCAGCATCATATAAATAATTACACTAAAGTCTCACATGTCTTGACGACATAGTTTTTTACTTTTTAAATATTTGGACAATGGCTGTCCTGAATTAGTCCCTATAAACAGTACCGTAAGTACTAGGTAGGCACAGACCACTGACGTGACGTAAATACGAGGTCAACAAAGAACACTATATTCCTAAACTATACTGAACCTCAAAAGAAACGCCACCTTACAAAGTCAAATGCAAAATTAAGTTCTTACCAGGTGGTGTTTCTATTATGATTGTACCGTTTTGTTTTTCAATCCAAATTGACAGTGTGTTTTCTGATGAAAAAGCATATCGGCCAAACGCACCTAAAAGGTTCCGTATGACATTCGTGAAAATTATAATGCACGTGCATAATATCGTGACTCTCCTGAAATAACTCATGTTTCCACACAATCGCCATGCCACGACTTTCGAGAGTTCAGTGGAACCAAGCCTTGGGACGATTGCAAGCTGGCTAGACAATGGAGAACTGTGGGTGTTTTTTAACGAAAGCCGGTATTGTGTTTCCACACCCGATTGCAGAGTGAGAGTATGGCGAAGATGTGGGGAACGGTTGTCCAATGAGTGTATTGTTGAAAGGAACTCGTGGGGTGGTCATGCTGTAGGTTGCAATCGTTCTGAACTACAGAGTTGACCCCATGGTCTTCCAGAATCTCCGTCCAGGACGAGGAAATGACGTGACAGCTGCTCGCTATGTTGACCAAGTCATAAGACCCCACGTTGTACCACATTTTGGACGTTACAGAAATCACATCTTCCTGAAAGACAACGCTCGTGCCCACGCTGCCAGGGTAACCTCGGACTTCCTAAGACAACATGGCATCCAAAACCTACAATGACCTGCACTCAGTCCGGATTTAACATTTTCGGGACGAGATTCAAAGTAGACTAAATGACCTCCAACTAAGGCCGACAGCTGCGGCTGGACTCGATATCAGGCATTTCCCAGAGTATGGACCCAAGTCAACCGGACAATTCATTCCATCATCGATGCCCATGGAGGCCACACACAATACTGACTTTGAAGTATCCTAATGATTCCATTTTTGGTAACTTTGTTTGTGTGAACTCTAAATGTGATTCCCGAATATCTGTTAGCCATTCTCAAGTCTGAACTCAATCCTCCGTTTTGAGTGTTAATTAAAGCGAATTAAAGTATGTGCTTTAAGAAACTTCTATCGGTGTGGCGTTCCTGTTGCGGTTTAGTATATAAAAGAGTTCAAAACTTTCCCTTGTGGTTTTACTTTCACGGTGAAAACCCGTAACAATGAAACATAAGTCATCTTACCTTTGCCCAATACGAGATGCTCTACTGGTTCGGACGTGACAACCAGTTGTGTCTGATTGAAGCCTTCCATGAGGTTACAAGACTTGGTGTCCTTGTTGTAGAACATGGTGGTACAGTATGCACTGATGAAACACAGAGAGACACAGTCTGCCCGGGACATGGCAGGAGACCCTGGAGGTAGGGACGGGGGCACCTGTCCAGTAGATAACATGGATACGGCCATTTCAGAACAGTTCATGTTGTTGATGAAGGCTTGTTTTCAGGGAGAAAATTGCGTTCTTGCAAAGCTGAGAAGATCCTGGAAAACAAAGGGACATTACTTCAGTTACACAATCGAGACAACGTACAAAGATGCCAGTCATGACATATCATGTGATAGTGACGTATAACATAACATAGCAAAATACCTTTACACTTGCTATTTTATACCTGCATTTACCCAACGCCGTGCCTCTAAGATCCACCTGTATAGAATGAGCAGCTACCCGTGTAAACCTTGGATAAATTGATTATCTCAACCACACACAGAGAAATGGGTGCAACACCACTATCGAACGCATAACGAAGACTTGTTACTAGGCACATTTATTGGCACTTATAAATAATTGAAAACAGTTCACATTGCTCTTACACAACTGGGTTTTCAGAAGGAGGTCTCAGGACTTGTCCCAACCTGCCTACAGGTTGTACGCCCAAGAGAATAAAAACTAGCTGGTATCTAGGAAATCCAGCCACGGCTTTTTGGCGCTATGATCAATCACTTTAACCACTAGTTTGTACTTCTGATTATGTATGTGTAAATGACCTTGAATCTGGAGAGGAAAGCATGCTGATGAGTGGTGAAAGCGGGATTCGAACCTAGGATCATAAGCTTCTCGAGTGCACAAGGGAAGCACCTTCGACGACAGGGCCACCCATGCCCCCAAATGATATTTTCCCATGACAATATTTTGTTGTTTGGTTAAAAGGTCTTTCTGGGATATATGTTGTTAACATCAAGTGTGAGACGAATCAATGGATTGTTGATTAATTCTGTTGATGAAATATGTTTCCCTTTCATTGAACATGTTTATGCACCATGTCTATACGCATGTCTTTCCTTTCAACATGTCATCGATTGTATTGATTAATGTATTGTGATAGTTGCTTTAAAGTAATAGACGCACAGAAAGTAGATTTTTTCAGGAGATCAGATCATTCTGTAAAAACAGTCATCGATTTACACTTGAAGGATGGAATAGCTAGATAAACACGTTTCTTGATACGTTTCCTCACACGGCAGCAGTAGGGCATTTTAAGTACAGCACACATGTAATTGAATAACTATTCTATACACAGCCTCAACACAAACCGTTCCAAATGGATTCTTTCTGCCATAGTTACATCCTAATTGCAAAAAATGCACCGTGCATGTGGCAGCAGAATTGTCATTTAAACTGATTAATGCTTGATTCTGTAAAATATTCAGAAGATTATGTAGGTTTTGGAATATCAACGCTGATAGTTTTAGTGAGTGAGTGAGTTTAGTTTTACGCCGCACTCAGCAATATTCCAACTATATGGCGGCGGTCTGTAAATAATAGTTTTAACATTTTCACTACATATTTTCAGGACGTTTAACAAGCATAGTGAATACATATATTGTGAATGCTTACAACTGTCTGTGAACAGTGTCGTTTATTTCTATATTATCATGAGCTAAAGGCGCAGTTTGTACCAAGGTTTCAGATATAGTTTGTTAATGGTTGGGCTGTTAACAATAGCCAACCATCGTGTCATCAAGTCATTTCAAAAATACTTTCGCATGGCAACAAAGAAATGCAACACTATGTGATAAAATATGTTAAAAGCCTATCCGATTTTAGGTCAAAACTTACCATACGTACCATTTTAAATCTGCATTTAGTCAGGGCATAATAAAACGAAATCCACAGAGGGGGCTGCTTTAGTTAGTGGTTAATCACAGTGTGGGCGGGTCTTCTGAGTGGTTCATCACAGAGTTGTCAGGTCTTCTGAGTCGTGATCACAGAGTTGTCGGGTCTCCAGATTAGTTGATCACAGAGTGGGCGGATCTTCAGTTGCTTTACGGTCCTGGGCCCCGTTCCTCAAAGCGATCGTAGCGCTTAAGTTGATCGTAACTCCCATTCTTTTAACATAGACCTACGACTGTCGTAGCGCTACGATCGCCTTGAGGAACGGGGCCCTGAACGATGCCGGTGATTCATATACTTTGCCACATTGTTAATGTATAAATAAACGGTTTGTGAAATCATTGAAGTTGGACTGTACAATAATGTACAAGAATTCCTTTCAATATTGTTTTGCTGTATGGAATATATCATTAACGTTTCCTACCCAGTGTACAGAGGTGAAAGCAGCATGCAAGCAGAAGTGAACCGTTCAGTTCATACGGCAAACCAAATTGGGTATGTAAGAATATTTATCACTAATTAGAATGGACTACTACCTCGTTGCTACTAAATATATACTGTCTATAATCTATCCATACTGACAGGTTTTGAACCGCCTCCGTGGTGTAGTGGTTAGAGCGTCCGCCCAGAGCGGAAGGTCGCGGGTCTGATCCCCGACCGCGTCATACCAAAGACATTAAAATATGGTACTTGTTGGTCCCTGCCTGGCGCTCGGCATTAATGGGTACAACAAGGACTGGTCGGCTCGGAGTCAGTATAATGTGTCTGAGCGGGGTATTCATGCTTCACTGCGGCGTGGTATCTCAGTGGGCTAGCACTATAAAACCAGCATAAGTCTGGGCTAGTACAAGCAGCCGCACACATACATACACACGCATGCACGTCGTCATATGAGCAGGAAATATTCTCAAGCACGACGATAAACCCAATTTCACCTCACCTACTGACAGGTTTTCACTTCATTAGCTGTGTGTGTCTTCAGCATTGGTTACAGCATGGGACTATTACAGAGAAGTGGTCAGAAGTATTGCATCTATATTAATTAGGCTATATTTACCATGTTTCCTCTCTGAAACGATCTCAGACAATACTCATAGTGAGTAGACAGATTTTGCAAATCGTAATAATATCAGCATTGTAATAGTGTTGGAGATAGTAAACTGAGATAAAAAAATTGAGATGAATTGGGATGGTTTACACGAGGGGCGTTCGAAAAGCAGTCAGCCTGAACATATTTGCGATGTCCAATGTTTGAAAAGCTTCCATTTTATTTTGAAGAAATAATTAGCAAATAATGGGTTACCTCCCAAAACCCCTACATCCCATAGCAGCCCGTACAGCTTATAATGGATAAAGTCTTTGTTTAGCTTTTCGTCTTTCCCTACACAGCCTGTTTAGTATAGAATTTCTTCTTCTTTTATCTGTTATATTGTATGAGGTTTTCACTGTCTCAGTTGTGTGTATTGGGAATCTTTCAACTGGATTATCTTCTAAGACCGACCTTTCTGAGATGATCGTGGAATGGTATTTTCAAAAGGCTGGAATGAATAATCTTGCCAGTGGTTCTATTGTTCTACTGTACATGTGGAATAAAGAGTAGTGGTAATGACACGCGGTTCATGGAGAACGTTATAGGTTTACTTTGAATTTGTAAGACCTTTTGTGTGGGCACTTCTCGTCTTCGGTAGTGGAATGGAATCGACAGGATTGCCAGTCGAGCATAGAAAATGTACATAATTGAAGAAATGGATTCTTTAAAAGTACTTTGAATAATTTAAACTGTAAGACCTACTTGTCAGTCACCCAGTCACTGTCTTTCTGCCATTCAAGCTAACAGGAAACTTGAATTCTAAGATCCTAGTCAAAAGATCCAAGTCATTGCGAATTTCAAATTACGTCATTTAGTATGAGAGATTTAAGCCTGTCTATTAAAACACAAGGCTAATCTTTAATTCGGCGTCTGAGAGAAGGTAATAGGCATCCTCGCGATGTATAATCCCAATGGGTTGTTTTCTCGTGGATTAATGCCATATTACGCATTCAAATTTCTGGTGTCCTCCCACTTCGACTAAATTTAACACATTAGGTACGGAAAATCTTTTTAAGCAATGTTGGTATGTTACGCCTGGATGATAACTAAGGAGTAGGTGAAGTGGGAATGGGAGAATCCACACTTAGTGATCAGAGGGGTGTTCAAAGAATGACAAAATGCAAGTGACCTTTTTATATATTTAATACTTTATACACATCATTAACACATGTCCCACTCAATCACAATAATAGATGAGTTATGCAACACAGTTTCAGTCATTAACACATGTCATACTCATGTCATACATTCAGTAACATTCACTCCCAATCACCAAGAAGAGGGCAAATAGTTTATCTTTTGCACGTCCAAATCGGTACTTCCTCTTCCTCTTTGGCTGACGTTGATGACCTTGTTGCTGGGCAAGTCTCACTCCTGTCCTAGACTGCTCCTTCTATATCAGTTTCACAAACGCATAAATGTTGGGATGGCAGGATGTCAAGGAAGTTTAGCTTGGAGTGCCAGCCTTCAAGGTTGTTATTTGTTCTGTGGCCGTCGTTGGCAAAGTGGTTCCATTCAAGCTTATCCCACAGGCCCTCATCTAACCAGATCAAAGTTATATAGTCTATAAACTTCGTACACGTCACATCCATGGGTGCTTCGGCAATAGCGTCTGTCCAAACATTGTCTACTACTTGATCGAGGGGTGCAAGTGGGAGGGTCTTTGCTCTAAGGGCCAGTTGCCTGAAGTCGGCATCCTCCTTGTAGCGTGATGTTAGTCCAAGAGTCTGAATCTTCCTCCATAATGCTTGGGCGTAGTGGAAGTAGCAGCCACAGATTTCCACTCTATCGAAGACAGCATGGGCAGCATTTGCGACGGCTTTCTCAAAGTCAATCTGCAGAATCTGTGGCTGGAGATGCAGATGAAGTCGCTCTGTCTCAGCCCTCAACAACTGGAATGCTGTGGTGTATGTTGCCTGGGACTTGTTGGGGAGTAGCATGTATACAGGAGGATACATGAACCCTTGTACTTCGGCGTGGATGGTGTACGTCTGCAGGAACAGTTTGTTGTTCTAAGAATTAATGGAGTGCTTGGAGAAGGGACACCCCACTTGGGAACTTAGCCTGTTCCAGTGAGACTCCACGGTTCAGTGATTATAGATATTAGGAGTTCTGATATGTCTGCTCATTAGGCGATGTCGGAAAAATTTAGCAGGAAATTTAGGCGAAGCGGGTATGCACCAAATTTCTTTGTGTCTTCACAGAAAGTTTAATTCATAAGAATGAAAATTAAATAAAACAACAAACGAGAAAACTCGCAATTTAAAAATAAATAAACAAAATGAAATAACAAATCTTCTCCATGGACAACATGCACACACGATTAATGGCTTCTTCGTGAATTCTTCAATTCTTATATTTACGCCTTTGCAAATGTTTCCTCCTTAAAACGCCATCTGAATTGAAGATGTTCCATGAAGTCACACACAGTGTTGGGGTTCACGTTGTGAGTGAGTGAGTGAGCGACTGACTGAGTTTGGTTTTA